TCAACCGAACCCAGTTATGTGAGTACTTATCAGCGATTTAGGTTATAAGGATGTTGTAACTGCCTCTCCGGTTTGTAACCGGCGAACTCCGTAACGAGATTTGACAGTACACTGTTTCTGATATTTTTCAACCGAACCCAGTTACGTGAGTACTTATCAGCGTTTTTTTTTTTTTTTTTTTGGATGAATAAATTCTTCATCGCCTGACACTTCGTTCTTTGCACCGCGGCCGATCTCCTTGGTCTTGGTCCTGTATATAGGAGTGATAATGAACAAATCTATTAGTTTTTAATATAAAATCAGAGAGGTAAGGAAAAATTTTTGGCGTGTCGAGAAGTTTGTTGGAGTTGTTCCAATTAACTCTGACTCCTTCTTTCTTGAGTTTTGTCCTGAATGATTTTCTCGCTCTTGAAAATCTTCTGCAATAAAGGAGGAAGTGATTAGTGTTTTCTGTCATTTTGCAGACCTCACAGAGGGGGGAATCAGTCAAGTTTCGTTTAAAAAGATGGTCATTTAGGGGGCTAAAACCTGCTCTGAGTTGGAAAATGGCTGCTGTGCCACCTTTTTCCAGTTTCTCTAGGCCTTCCGTAATGAATTTAGGTTTAGTTGTGAAGGAATTCTTGCCTGGAATGAACGTAAATTGATTTATGTGAAGATTTTCGCGAATTCTTCTCTTCAGACTTCCCAGGCTTGTTGGAAGTTGTATTGGTGTAACTTGGTCTTCGGCCGTAGTACCTGCTAGTTCGTCAGCTAACTCATTAAGCTCTACACCTTTGTGACCTGGGGTCCAGTAGAACCGGATATTGGTGCTATTTGGTATCCTCATTAGTTGGGTGCGGATCTGAATCAGTAAGTGTTGTCCTGATGTTGGTTGTGGGATGTCTTGAACTAATTGTATAGCAGCTTGGTTGTCGCTGAAAATCGCAACACCTTTCGGTTGGGGACTCTGTCTAGAGAATGTTTCGTTAGCTAGTTCGGTTGCAAGGAGTATACCTAAGAGTTCCATCTCGTGATTAGAGAAGTTGTCAGTAAATTCGACTGCCTGTGCTCTGCTTTTTGTTGTTGCCACTGCATCAGCTCCTCCACCTTCTGCCTTGACTGATCCATCAGTAAAAATTATCAGTGAGTCTCGATCTTCTTCTGATTTGATTTGGTTGTTTATCTGATCCATTATCTCATCTTTTGTTTTGCCCAAGTTGATTGCTTCACCAAAGCTTTGCGACCATGGTGCTAACGGATAAGGGAAAATCGTTTCTATGGTTTCTTTTGATAGTCGTTTAAGAGATTGAGCTTTGAGGATATCCTGGATCGGTCCCGGGTGAGTTTTGAAACCCGAGTTAATTTCGAATTCGATGAATTTGCGCGTAGGGTGGGAATTCTGGGCTGAAAGTCGTTTTGCTACGAACTGATGGTGTCGGCTGGTTGCTATCCATTTGAGAGGGGGCATATATGAATCATGACGAGCCATTTCATTCGATGTTCCTCTAAAGGCTCCTAGTGCAATCAGGTTAGCTTTGTTCTGAATTTTTTCTAAGATGTGATCAGCTTTTTTCTCGGTTTTATTAGACAACCACACAATACTACCATATAGAACTCTTGGTACAAGTACTGCCTTGATCAGTTTCTTGATTTCTTTGGTTGAAAGGCCAGAGTAACATTTGTTCAATCTTTTGAATTGATTTAAGGTGAGCTCTCCGGTTTTCTTCATATGCTGGAAGTGACTGTTAAAGTTGATTTTGGGGTCTAGCCATAGACCGAGCCACTTCACCTCCTTCTTGGGTTGCAGACAGGTGTCGCCAAATTGAAAGTTTGGGTTATCTGGTTTGCGTTGATTTGAGAAGTGCATTAGTTGGGCCTTTTTCTTGTCAAAGATGGCCCCGTGTTTCTGCGCCCAACGTAAGGATCGTTCCGCATGGGTTTCTAGTAATGTCATGTTGGTGAGTAAGTCCTTGGATGAGACTGCGTGAACGACATCGTCAATGAAACCTATGGAAATGCTCGATGAAGATGTTGATGGCGAATTCATTCCTAGTAATTCAGAGTTATAAATGATATATAGGATAACTGAGAGCGGTGAGCCTTGTGGGAGTCCGTTTTCGACATCGAATTTTTCTGATAGAAAGTCTTGTATGCGTAAGTTCGTTGTTCTTTCTGACAGAAACCCCTGTATAATACTTAGGAGGTAGTCCGGGCAGTTTTTGGTATGGAGAATATGCCATAACCTTTCTCTATGTACCAAGGGGTACGCCGATTTCACGTCAAGGAAAAGAGCAGATGCTACCTCTTTCTTCCTCCACTTTTCCTTGATCCAGGATATGAGAATCAGCAGAGCATCATCCGTGCAATGTTGTCTACGTCCACCCATGTGGGTCGGTGAGATAACCTTGAAATTCTCGGCCCAGTAAGTGATTCTGCTGGTTATGATTTTTTCTAGAACTTTTCCCAAACAGCTCAGTAGGGCTATGGGTCTATAAGAGTTTGGGTTTGAATAGTTGTCCTTGCCTGATTTTCTGATGATTATGGTGACTGCCGATCTCCAACCGTCAGGGAAGTGACCCAGCTTGAAACAGGCGTTGAAAAGTCTACAAAGTTCATTTTCGATAGCTGGCAGTGAAATTTTCAGTAATTCGTTTGATATCTGATCTTCACCTTGGGTCTTCTTATTCGGGAGATCTTCAACTATTCTTTTCAATTCGTTGGTCTTCAGGATGGGATGTTGGAAGGGGCCTTTTCGGAAAACCGATTGTGTGATATCCGATAGATCCGCCTCAACATGGGCTACGGAGGTTCCTTCAAAAAGTATCTTGGCTTGCTGGTGTTTTTCCGAGGCTGTGGTTCCGTCTGGGTTGAGGAGTGGGGCCACTTCTCCGGTCGAGGACGGTTTGGTGAATTTGAAAGCTTTAAACGTGTCGTTGCCCGAACAGTTGGCCAAGAATGTCTTCCAATGGTTGGTCTTAGCTTGGAGAACTCGGCTTTTGAAGTAGTGTTGCCACTTTGAATAGCAGTCATGTGCCTCCGGTAGGTTAGAGAGGGACATCCATCTTCTTGCACGGTTTCGGGCTTTGAGGATCGGGTTGAGCACGTCTTTGTCCCACCAGACTTTATGCTTACACGGGTTAGTTTTCACCTTTTTCCCTTGGGAGTTTGCTGCATCAGTGATAATTTCTGTTAGTTGACTGACTCCTTGGTTGATGTCATCCGTGGTAGCATAGTCTGGTGGGAGGCGAGTTAAGGCTTCTGTGATTTTTTCATGCAGAGGAGAGATTTTTATGTCAGCGATTTTTAGGGAGATGTGGGTAGAGGTTGGGGTCATGAGAGAAAGGTCAAGGAATGTAGCTACGGGAAGATGATCCGAGCATAATTCATCTTCAATAATCTTGCATTTTATCACTTTGTTCTTGAGGTTCCAGCTCGTCCATACCAGATCAATAGCTGTTGGGCTTGTTCCTTTTGAGAATCGAGTTGGAATACCTTTCGGGGATGTAAGTGATAGTCCAGAAGATCCGCATAGGTGAATGAGTTTTTTCGCCAGTGTGTCGTTTCTTGTGTAGCCTGGGGGGTTCCATAGTTGGTGGTGTAGGTTTGAATCTGTTGTGATGATTGTTTGAGATTGCCTAGTGTGGTGGAGGCGGAGCCAACGTTCCAGCGTGGCTATTCCTCTTAGTGTTCCCGGGGGATTGTACCAGGAAATGATGCGTAGGTTATTGCGGTGGTTGTTTGGGTCTTTGATTTCTACACCTAAGATGATGTCAGATCCACTTGGGAGAATTGTGAAATGGGCTGTGGGGATGAGTTTGGAAATATAAATACAAGCACGGGGTCTATCTTCCCAAGGGGAAGGGTAGTAGTCGTACGCCGATATTTGGTGCCAAGCTTTATGATTTGGGAAAGTGCAATTTTGGGGGTTGAACCACGGTTCTTGTAGTGCAAGTACCGTGTACTGAGTTTGAGTAAGAGCTTCGTGGGTGATATCTTGCGATTTGTGACAATTAAAGTGGAGAATTGAGATTTTTTCTAGGTTAATGGGGATGTCTGAATTGTTTTCGATGGTTGGTTCGTAGTCGACGAAGGATTCTGGAGGATTGGGGGGAAGACTGTTGTGGTTCTCTTGATGGGGATTATAATTCATCTTCGGTTATGATTTGGTGAGGAATTTGAAACTGTGTCTTACGGAGAGGGCACAATAAGCTTTTGGGAGAGTGAGCGTACTTGGGAAGGAACCTGTCAATTCGGGTGTTAGTTCTGGACGCATCAAATTTTACGCAACGGGCACAATTTTGACTAATGTCATTGTTTGCACAATCTTTAGTGTTGTGGGTATCACCACATTTTATGCAGTGAGCAATGAATTTGC